AGACTGTGAGGCAGGAATGAATTTGGTGTGTTAGAGGAACAAGGGAGTCAGTAGGATTGGATGGCAATTTGAATTGAGAGGTATGAAGTAGAGGACAGAGATTTGGCCTCAGGGATAGGGGTAGCTCATCTCTTTTAATCGGGAAGGAAGGTCACAGTGGACTATCAATTCACAGGTAGTGATGGTTAGTAGGTACAGTAATGGAGGATGAGAAAGTTCTCTCCTGAGTGTTTTCTATTATCTCAGCGTAATGAGAAGAAAAGTGAGAGCATTTTTAAAAAATGACATTTTTTAAAAAATCTAAAATTGTAACAATTTTCAATATCATCAAATAGCTAGCCAGTGTTCAAATCTTCCTGATTGGCTGATTATTTTTTTTAACAGATGTTTTGTTCAGATCAGGCTTTAAATAAAGTCTATAAATTGCAATTAGTTAGGCTGTTGAAGAAATGAGTATTTTTCATATAGTTTCCTACAGTTGGATTTTGTTGACTGCATGCCTATAGTGTTTTCATGCTCTTCTGTTTCTTGCAATTCCTGGAAATTGGTCTTCAGAACTTGAAACTGAACAATTTCATTTTTGGTAATAACACTAAAATGAATAAAATCATAGCTGGTATTGATTAGAGGCATATGTCAAGTTGCCTCTCTCTTTTAACATTGGCCACTGGCAATTTTTGTCTGGATTCATTATTAGGCCCATTACTTCATTACAGTGCAAAACGATGACATTCCAAATCTTAATTTATGAGATTAATAACTTTGAAACAGAACAACTACCTTTCATCATCTTTGGTTACCTGGTGGTTTAATCATGTAAGTTAAAGGTGAGCTGAATTTCCCTTTACTTTTTTTTTTTTTTTTGTACTAGCGAGTGAACCTAGGGTACTTTACCACTGAGCTACATCCCTAGTCATTTTTATTTTGAGATAGAGTCTCACTAAATTGCCGAGTCTGGCCTTGAATTTATAATCCTCCTGTCTTAGCCTCCCATGTTGCTAAGATTATAGGTATGCACCCAGCCCATATATTCTGTTCTTGAAAAAGGTTTATCTGAGACCTTTAGGTCATAAGGGATGCCTTTATATTCCCTTTGAAGTATTTAGTTATAGCTTATCCTACAATCAGGATGAAATTCCACATTGTGGTTCAATGAAAATAGATTTACAATTAAGTGGAAATAAAGAACTTAGTACTAATAGCCTTGAAGAGGACTGCATTGAGAAAAAATTCAAATGTTCAACAAGCAGCTTTCCAATGTTCAGATACATTTGACAAAAAGCTCATAAAATATTAAACTTCTGGGAAGGTGATCAACTAAATAATTTATAAAAACAAAGGTTCAAGTCAGTGCAAGTACTATTATAGCAAATGCCTTGTCTTTATTTATGTTTAAGGAAATGCTGCAGGGGTGTAGTAATTTTGGTATCAGACAGAAAGGATTGAATTCTTCTTCCCTTATTATGGTTAACTTGAGCAAGTTACTCTACATATCACATGTATATGATAGGGAATCTGAAATATCTGTGAATATTCTAAAACAGTGTACATTTATAAATGTTAGAGCACTCACATGCATACATATAGGAAAAGTCTCTTTGACTGGAGATAGTAATAAGTTATAAATTGCCACAAATTGTTAATTATGAAACAGTAAAAATTGCTGTATGAAGAACATGCCATATATGCCATGACTCTCAGGGCAGTTTAGTAGATGGTTTAGGCTAATGTACCTTTTACTCCTTACTGATGGAACTGCTTGTGAGATAGATTAGGGAAAAAGAATTGGGCAAATGCCATAGTGAAACTTGCTTTTGGTTCCAGTAAGAATATAACAGAAGACTGAGCACCAGTGAGACAAACACACTCTAAATGACCTAAAAATAACTGTAACATACATAGACACTTCCTTTCCATTGCTGTTAAACTTAGCCTTCTGCCTCAACCTGCCCTGCTTTTTTCCCCCCTTCACCCAGACTGAGTCAGTATTAACCCCCCCTCCCCCCCCAGCTTGGCTCCCTGACTTACTGAATCCCTACTATCCCATAGTTGTTATATCTTTTGTGACAGTGCCAACACACAGTTGTTAATTTGTGGGGCATCAAAATGATTTCCAAGTCATTGAAAAACAAGTATAAACACAGGAAGATGTATACTTATCCCCTAATTTTCATAGTAATCTGATGATTAGAAAGATAAGAAAATTGATATGTGAGAGAACAGGGCATAAATTGCTAAAATGAAAGATCTTGAAAGTATAGCTATGTTCATATTTTGTTACTTTCTGAATTATGTATAATGTAAGTTCTGTGAGTACTATTTCCTTAGAATTATACTTTCACAAACTTGTTATTGAAATTAATGCACACATAGAAAAGTGGGATTTATATTTTTAAAATTAGTATCCATGACCTCAAGTGCCTTGTTAATTTGTTGTGACTCAAAATGTTAAAATTGTGAATTCATGTGATAGAACATTCTCAATTTTAAAGTAATATTGAGTTTAGGTGTGGTGTGTTGCATCAGACTTGGTTTTGAGTAATACCTAGAAAAATGCATAGTATATTATACTGACTAATGTTTTATAACTCCTGAACAAGTTGAATTAAGGATGACGTTTAACTTAGACATATTTATATATGTAAATATACATATGCAGCTTATGATGTTTTTAAAAACTCTATTAACTACAAAGAATGAAAAGATTTTGCAACAGAGTTGGAATGGAAACAATTTCTGAGATAGAGATCAAATTGTGTTTATAGACACTCTTACTGGCAGCTTTGTTATCAGTCATTTCCTGTGGGAATATTTTACTGGGAAACAATTTTATGCTTTGAGTATTCATTAAATAGCCTTAGGTCCATGGAATAAAAATATTGTAAGAATAATAAATATGAATGTATGCACATTACAGTGTAACATTTCCTAGTATTTTCCTAGATAAGAATTAAGATTATTTAACAAACTGTGTTTCTTATCCATTACTAATTTTTAAAACAACACCAATGAAGTATGGTCTAGTGGAGAGTTAAGCAATAGACTGGAAATTGAAGTCGTTTGTTTTCTTTAAATTAAAATTGATAGTAATTTGAAAATATTTATTCATCACAGACGGTAGGGCTGCAGATGCAGTTCAGTGTTTGCCTATCAAGCTTGAGGCCCTGGGTATGATCCCCAGCACCACAGGAAAAACAAAACTTCTTTACAGTATTTAAGTACTAAGTAATTATTAAGTATTAAGTAATACAGTATTTAAGATGTTGTAGTTTGTGGAGAATACACTGGTCAACTATAGTCTCTGCCCTTAGGGAATTTATGGATTTTCTTTTAAGGGAGGTAGGAAATGCACACAAATTATATAAAACAACAAACACATACCTTTCCTCCCCTGCTATAAATATACCAGAGGGTTGTGGTGCTGGGTAGGAATAAAACACTATTGGAGTTTGGAAGAACTTGAGATCATGTCCATCTGGGAGATGGACAAAGATGAGGTCAAAGATGATCTCATAGTGAAGGAAACTGAATGTAAAGGATCAGTAAGATTTTTGCAAATACAGATGCAGATAAAATTATTCCAGATGACAGGCAGACTTGGTATTAAAGGTAGTATAAATCACAGCAAATTTAGAGAGTAGAGCCTCTGATGCAAACAATAACACAACTTACACAGGGAAATATAGTTATGAAGTAAGGTAAATTAGGGCCAAGTTATTTTCTTTCACTCAGTAACATTAGCATTTATTTATTCTTGAGTACCTACTAAGTGCAGGTACTGTGCAAGGTGTTAGGCACATTTATGAGTAGTTTAGACAAGAGCCCTTTCCAATACATAAAAATTAAAAGGTCTGAAATCTGATTTGGTGGTGACTGATTTTTCTATCACTGATGGATCAATTAATTAATATGTGGCAACAAGAACTACTTTAGTTTAATAGTGTTATACTGATCATGGGATTTGATATTTGGGGGAGTTGGTATTTCCAAATTACATTGTTTCTCGATTTCACTTCCATTGTGTCTCAGCCTGACATATGAATTAAAATAAAGGTAATTAAAAATAATTGAAAGCTGCAAACTTGTATTTTTAATTTGGTAGGCTTGGAGGCGGGCTGATGGGGGACACCATTAAATATGTGGGTCCATTTTGCAAGTTTTGATTATCTAATAATTAATGCTGCAGCATGCACTAATTAAAAAAAAATAAAAGGTAGACTTAAGAAATCTGTGGTGATTTTTTGGACAATTTTTTTTTTTTTTTTTAATACTGGGGATTAAATCCAGCGGTGCTCTACCACTGAGCCACATCTTGAGACAGGATTTTGTTAAACTGCTTATGGCTTAGCTAAGTTGCTGAGGTTGGCCTAGAATTTGCGATCCTTCTGCCAAATTCCCAAGTTGCTATGATTACAAGTGTGCACCAACGTGTCCGGAAACAAAAGGAATTATTGAAAAGGAATCGCTGCAAATTTCCTTTCAATATCAAGACCTCTGTGCGGTTAACATGATAGATCATTTCTAGAACACATTGCACTAAGTGAGATACACCTGCACTCATACTTTGTCCGTCAAAACAATCTTTTTGTTTTCTCTCAAGCTAGGACTTGCAGTATCTAAGACACTCCTCGAGCAGTGGTGGCAATGGGGAGGGGCTGGTGAAGGTGGCGGGGTAGCAGCTGGGAGAGCACTTTCCCTTTCTTTGGCTAAAACTTTGCAGCTGCCAAGCCCAGATTCACCTTCCGGCTGGAACTTTTTTACCCCAACCTCCACTCACAGCTCCCCAAGCGTCGCGTGCGCTAACTCCCGCTTCCCTCCGCGGTCTTTAGCTCAACCCCAACCCACCGCCCTCCGCGAGCCCCCGGAATCTACCTGCCGCGCGCCCACCTCGGGAACGCAGTTCTGCGCCCCGGGCCCGCGCCCCATTGCGGCCAGTCCCTCCGGGGCATGCGCGCTGCGGCGCTACCGCCCTCCCCCACGCCTTCCCGCGGCAGAGTTATGCCAAGTATGTGAGGAGCCGGCAAGGGCCAGCGCCGGTCATGGGGAACTGCCGCTGCCGCCGCCTCCGTGAGCGCTACTTTCTCCACGACGGGGCTCTGACCTCTCCCCGCGACCCGGGCGAGCCCAGTTGCTGAGGAGAAGGGGATGGCGGACCCTCTGAGGAGGACTCTGTCCAAACTCCGGGAGAGGAGGGGTCCCCGCAGCGCCGGGGGGCTCGGATTCCGGGCGGCCGCTGCAGCTGCGGTGGCGGCCTCCTCCGCAACCCTAGGAGACACCTGGTGTGCCCAGGACTGCCCCCCATGCGAGCACGCCGGCGCAGCTGGGCCAAGCTGGACGCAGCCCCCGCCGTCACCTGAGGCGGGCGGCGCTAGAGGGTCCTCGGCGGGGTCCGGGGCGCTCGCCCCTCGGCCGCGCAGCGGGCAGGCGGTCCCTCTCCCGGGTCGCGGGCTAGCTCGCGCCACTCTGCACGCCGCGCTGAGCTTCGAAGGCAGTGGAGAGGAGGAGGAGGAGGATGACGACGCCGACTACAACGCCGACTACTACGAGAACCTGCCCGGCGGCTCGCAATCCGTGGCCGCGCCAGCGCCTGAGGGGGCGGAGGCGGAGCTGCGGCCCCCGCCTCCCCCTGCGGCGGGCTCCTCCTCGGGGGCGGAGGGCGGCAGCCTGGAGACGGGCAGGCTGCAAACCCAGTTGCGAGAGGCCTATTATCTGCTGATCCAGGCCATGCACGACCTACCCCCTGACTCAGGCACGCGGCGGGGCGGCGGGGGGTTGGCGGATCGCGGTTGCCTCGCGGGAGCCGGGGCTCCTGGCCAGCTACCTTTCCCCCGCGGCGCTGAGGACTGCAGAGCCTGCCCCGGAGATTGGGAGTTGGGAGGCGGCGACTGCCCTCAGCAGCAGGTGTCCCCGCCCTGGTCGCCTCCGAGGGAGCCTGAGGGAGTCCGGCCTCGGACTCCTCGAATGAGGCTGTCTTGCAGCAGAAGCCTTGAGAGCTTCCCGGTGGGCTCCAAGCCTCTTCCTTTACAGCGGTGGCCGAGCGACAGCTGGATCAGGTGCGGCGAGCGCGGGGACCCAGACGAGTCCCCGCCACGTGGAGGCGGGATGGAAGGCTGGAGCGGGGGCAGCGCCCGGGCCGCAGCATCTGCTGGCCTCTTGTCTCCGGGCTCCAAGGACCTCGGCAGCTCCTCGAGAAGTCCTTTCAGGCATCCTGCGGGGCCCTCTGTGATCCGCAGTGGTCAAGAAGACCGCCAGGAGGGCTCCCCCACCCTGAAGCCGTCCACAGTCACAGTCAAGAAGCTGCAGAAGTGGATGTACAAAGGTCGCCTGCTGTCCCTGGGAATGAAGGGTCGCGTTCGTGGGACACCTTCTAAAGTCCCGGTGGCGCAGGCTACTTCTCCTAACCTGGGCACTTTGAAAGTGCGTGAGAACCCCATCCTCTCGGTGCCTCCCGATCAAAGAATTACATTGACAGGTAGGATACTTTGCAGTCTGTATGCTAGCACCGCAAGCCTTAGTGTTTACCCACCGCGCCTGTCTTTAGAGCCAAGAATAAAGTGTGTTTTTGCAGACAGATACGTGACTGTGCTAAAATAAGTGTTATAGAAGTGGCAATTTAAAGCGATTTCGAGGTTATTTAGTGTGATGTATTCACATTCACTCTTTTGCTTTCTTTTTTTTTTTAGACAGTGGCATGCAGATTTTTTTTTTTTTTTAAATTTCTTCTCCTAAAACTGGTGCGCCTACTTCCTTAGTACAAGGAGTAAAGGTTAAGTTCGCCACACGCTTTTTGTAGGTTGAGAGAGGGGCGGCGCTGCCTTGATTTTTTTCTCTGTAGCTCCAGGCAAATCCGGAGACTTTTGTGGAGTTTGTGAATTTGAATTTGATCCAAGGTAGATTTTACAGGCTTCATAAACTGTCATTTTACTCATTACTCCCTTTTTTCTTCTCTCTCAGACGCTTACACCAGACACACACACAACCACAACCAAAACAAACTAAAGGTATGAGTAAAGTTTCTTTTTAGTCAGGTAGCGTTTCACATCTTCTTCACACCAACAAACTCCAACGAGGTGAGTGATGTTTTTATTGTGGAATATTGGAAAATCAAGGATAGTGGTATTGTAATCAAAAGAAAAATGTCCATAAGGTACTTTAAAAAAATTTCAGGCACTTAAAATTATTTGTAAACTTATAAACTATTCATATTAGAAGTAAATTAGTTTTTTGAAATGTATATTTGTTCTTATATCATTATGCTCCTTATTTTGAATGTGCATGGTTTTCAGTTATCTCTGGAGGTTTAGGTTATCAATTCTAGGAATCTCTTAATTATGTTGTAAATAACAAATATTCTTTCTGAAACAGAACAAAACAACATGGCTTTTTGAACTACATTTAAAATATAAAAATATCAGTGAACATAAAGACCTACGTGTTAGTAATATTTTTAAAAACATTAAATATTGAAATGTAAAATGTAGTCTTAGTATTTGTGGTAAGAATTACAAGTGCCCAGGATTGGGTTAATACACATTAACCATTGTACAGACAACAATGAGAAGAAATAAAAATTTAACAACTTCTAATCAACCAATGATGATAAATCAAATGATTCATTTAAATTATATGCAAAGTTAAATGTTTTTTGGATCTTTAAGTCTAATGCCTGTCAAACTTTATCCTCAAGTTTAAATATTCTGTTTCACTTGAATAAAAGAAATAGTAGAGTGTCTTTGTGAAGACAGGTTTACTTTATACTACATTCACATTAAAATGTGCATTTCCAGGAATAAAATATTTGTAATCACTTATTATACTTTATTACTACATTAGTTTTACCTCCTTTGATCTTGGTTCATTAACTCTTTGTATGATAGTTAAATTTCAGCCATAATCAGAAACCTGTATCTTTAGTCAAATGCTTTTACCTTTTTGTTGCAGAGGTAAAATATTTACCACCTGTTAGCTTTTAATGCCTTCACTAATAAAGGAGTTAACAAATGAAAATATTTCCTTTAAGAATGAATGCAGTGAATTTTTTATTAAGACTGTAATTATGAAAATGCTAACAACTTTAAAAGAAATTAAAATGAAATATTAGAATTTCTTTGTGATAGTATTTTATTTTATAAGAACTCTATGCAAAAGCTACCATAATCTTTGATTTAAACAACTTCCTTTCACATCATGAATTCATCTTTTAGAAAACATGAAAATAATTTGTGTAGTGTTTATTTATCTAATATAGATTTGGAGAGTATTTGTAAAAAAAAAAATTTTTTTAATGAAGGTTAGTTGGTTTTACTATAGCCATTCTGGGTAGTTTATATGATTCTTATATAAATTTTAAACCTTTCCACCCCAAAATATGGAGATTTGACAATTATTACTTAAGAACAACAAAAGGAACATAAAGGTTAAGTAGTTTTTCTGAGGTGTCTCTCCTAGCGTATGGAATCAGACTCTTATGTGAATTAAACCTCAGGTCTCATGACTAAATAACCCCTATTTATGTAAGGTAAAAAAGACTCCAGAGTTCTTTAGAGGTTTGTTGTATTACCATCAAGTTGCTTGAATTGAGGAGATGAATGGAATTTCGACAAGGTGTAGAGGGATAAATAACTTCTTCAAAATTGCAAAGATGGGGGAATCCTAGAATAGGTTTTAAGACTGCTTGAAAAATTAATTACTATATTCATTTTAAACCTTTACCTTCAAATATTTGCTTACTTCAAATTGATATTGCTTAGATTCTGTTTTGAATCATGTTTTTGAATTGATGGTGTAGTTCAGTGGTAGAGCATGTGCTTAGTATGCTCAGTCCTAGGTTCCATCCCCAGTCTCACCACAAGGGATAAAAAAAAATCATGTTTTTAAAAAAACAATTTGGACAGTCCAGATGAGGGAGTACATTCTTGGTTATATAAAAGATGTTAAGTATCTAAAACATTTGTATCATATTTTTTATGTAATATTACTCATAAGGATATTTTTCTCCCAAAATAAATATATTTGGGATTTATAACAGTATATAATGGGTTAGAGATATCTAATCTATTAGTTATTTTGAAATTTTTGAGACCATATGACAAATAGATGTCAAAAGTGATTTTCTATTTTCATTTCTGTCTCCTACAAAGAACCATTAAAACTTTTGATGGTATAATAATGCCAATGATTTGATGCAGTTAAGTATGTTGTGTTCACAGATTGGCCAATTTGTTCTTAATTGAGATGATTATTTAAGAAATCTAAAGTCATTACACATAGTAAATATTGTCAAGTTTCTGCAAGCCTTAAAATTATGAAGGAATCTTAATTTATTTGCTAACAGTTCTTTATTAATATAAACATTTATAAATAAGTTTTGATTAGCATATAGTTCACAGAAATATATTCAGAAGCATCAGGTTGAGTTTTTTCAACTCTTTTTTTCTTTTAAAAATGATTAGCATACTTTGACTCCACTTTTCCTGCTATATAATCTCTGAAAGACATATATTATTTGACAATCTTCTACCTTTAAATCTCTATGTGAGTCTGCCATTGTGACTCTAGAGGCAAGTTGCCTTTTTTTGGAAGTGTGCCATGGAACGTTGGAGTTGCTGGTGGCTGGAAAACTTTTAGAATTACAAATTCAGCAGAAAGTAGTGTTGTGTTGATTTGAAAATACTGTTTCTAGATCCATGATTCCCAAGAGATGCCGGTTTATTTTTTGAGAACCACCAAAGCTATTTTCTAGATTCTTGGTGTTTAAAGTATGGTTTACGATTTGAGAGCAGTGCTTTTCAAACTTAAAGTGCATATGGATTCCCTAAATCTTGTTAAAATGCTGATTTGAATAAGTGTGGTCTGGGACTTGATACTTCACATTTTAACAAAGTTCCAGTATAGGTAGATGATGCTGTTAGGCAGGCCACACTTTTTTAAAAAAATATTTTTTAGTTGTAGATGGACACAATGTCTTTATTTATTTTTATATGGTGCTGATGATTGAACCTGGTGCCTCACACGTGCGCATCCCCCAGATCACACTTTTTAGTAGTGAGATTCTAGAGTTTTCATGTCCTCCAAAGTTTTTATTTTTATTTTTTAGTATTGGAGATTGAACCCAGGGGCACCTGACTACTGAGCCACAATCCCAGTTCTATCTTTTTGTATTTTATTTAGAGACAGAGTCTTACTGAGTTGCTTAGTGTCTCGTTTTTCCTGAGGCTGGCTTTGAACTCACAATCCTGCCTGCCTTAGCCTCCCTAGCTGCTGGGATTACAGGAGTGCACCACTGCTCCCAGCCTCCGCAAAGTTTTGAAAAAGCACTCTACCTTATTCTAGTACTTCATACTTAAACCAACCTCTTTAGACTAAAGCACTTGAGTTCTTTCTGCTTCAGTCTTAACACTGCTTACAGTATGTGATGAGTTTGCAGTTCCCTTCATATTGCTCTCATTTTGCATCAATAAATATTAGATTTTGGAATCTGCAAGAGAGGAGGCCATATAGTAGAGGGTTAACATAATAGAGATTCTGAGTTTCTGGTCAGACTCTGCCCCTTTTACAGTCTTGTGACCTTGGGCAAGTTATTCAATTTTCTGTGGCCTCAGTCTTTATGTTGAGGGGAAGAATAAAGATAATCCATTTGGTATTTCCCCTGGCATTTAGCTGTTATTATCCAGAGGAAGGCAAGCAGGGTTTGTGGAATATTGTTTTGCACTAGATCATTAGGATTCTGGATGGAGAGTGAGAATGGAAGTTTAGGAGGACTGCCATGAGCATTGGGAATTGAGCTAGATTATCCATTTTAGGGGTACTTATTTATTCTGCTCATTTTTTCTTTTGTGCATCTTTTTCTTGCTTCTCTGGCTTTTCTCAGTTACTTTAGTGAAACTAAAAACAGTCTCACAGTTTTCTTCTCTATTTTCTTGTCTCAAAAGCAAGCAACACAGCTTGCTTAAAGGTTTTTATTGCAAGTTACAAGGGACGAAAAAGAAAAAGTGCTCCAGTCCTTTTCATTTTACGCCTTACCTTCTTTTAGATTTATCTTGGAAGAGAGAGAATTTTAGGCATAGATTCAAATATCTGATACAGTGTTCATAAGAATACTTTTATTTAGAATTTTTAAAGAAAAAGAAAAACATTTTCCTTACTGTTTATGTAGTAGAAATTTTAAAATGATGAAAAGATGTCTGTAGGGGCTGGGGATGTGGCTCAAGCGGTAGCGCGCTCTCCTGGCATGTGTGCGGCCCGGGTTCCATCCTCAGCACCACATACAAACAAAGATGTTGTGTCTGCCGAAAACTAAAAAATAAATATTTAAAAAATTCTCTCTCTCTCCCTCTCCCTCTCCCTCTCCCTCTCTCTCTCTCTCTCTCACTCTCACTCTCTCTTTAAAAAAAAAAAAGAAAAGATGTCTGTAGATGCTGTACATTTTTAATAAGAGTTGAAATACATAATTTCTTAGTTTATTGCTGCTTT